AAATTGTCCCATTTGCAACAACATGGATGGGCCTGGAGGGTATTATGTTAAGTGAAATAAGGCAGAAAGAGAGAGACAAACACTGTATGATCTCACTCATATGTGGAATATAAACCAACACATGGACAGAGAAAACTGTATTGTGGTTACCAGGGGCAATGGGGGTGGGCGGTAGGCACAAAGGGTGAGAGGAGTCATATATATGGTGATGGACAAACAAAAATGTACAACCCAAAATTTCACAATATTATAAACTATTAAAACATCAATAAAAAAGAAGTTTAAAAATTAAGGTACAGGAAGAATACAAAGAAGAAAATTAAAACTACTTAAAACCTCAATACCCAGATAAAACCAACGTTAATATTTTGTGTATTTTTTTGCATTTTCTAGGCATATATTTTTATCTTTACAAAACTAGAATCATCTCATTCATATGGATGCTGTTCCTGAGAATAACTTTCTATAATAAAATAATCTTCATCCAGAAAAAAAAAAAGATTCTTATGTGCCCTAAGTCAAAAGTGATGTGTTCTTTTGTAACTTTTCTTCATTCAATAAATGCAAGAAGTTTTCCACATCATTATTGTTCAGAATATGACTTTCCATGACAGCGATTATTTTAGTACATAACTACCTTAATTTAACTCCTTTTTGTTGGATATTTAGGTTGTTTCTAACTTCCTACTATTAATGCTACGATGAACAATCATTTTGCCATCTTCAGCTTCAAAAAAGAGAATTTATACCAGCGAGTAAGCAATTCCTTAAAAAACAAAAAAACTCACAAAAAAACCCCCCACAAGCCCTAACCTAACTCAATAGTTAAATCAGAAAAAAAGTAAAGATTCTTGCAGCAAGAAAAAAAATATGAGAAGCTGGTCTTAGAGTCTACCTACCTGCTGCCTCCTCATTGTTTGAACCAGCTGACGTGCCCAATCGCTCCTTCAGAGACTTCGAAACTTGAACTATAAAAACAAGATTTTAAAAAACCAAAAGTTGAACAGAGACCCTTTATAGGTCAAATATCTTTTTCACAGGTCACAAATTAGGCTTATACTTGTCTTCTAATGCAAATGCTTTTTAAAAAAATCTCTTCAGGTCTTAAACTTTCCTTCTCCACAGTACACCTCTAGGCGAATCATGGATTCCCTAGAGCACTCTGGAAAGCTTAAAAAAAAATCTTTCTTTAGATCTGAAAAGCAAAAACTACTGAATTTAGGAAAATAATTTTGTTACTGTACAATCTTCTAAAACCTTATTGGCATCAAAAAGTCTTTTTCCCCTACATCTATTTGAAACATGCTCTTTAGTTATGAGAGTCTTCCATATGATAGGCAAGGAGTAAGCGAATTTGGCTGCAAAGAAAAAGAGTAATTTCTACTTGTTCTGAGAATGCAAGAAAGCCCCCCAAAAAGAACATCTACTCATCAAAGCCTCTTGGACTACAGGAAAATTGGGAAAAAGTTTCTTATCTTCAAGAGAAGTTAAAACTAAACACAATGAGAAGGAAAAAACACCTATTTTTGCTAATTAACACCAACATTTCACTGCAAGTGATACAAGGAAAAAAAATCCAACCCTTGACTTCTTTCTATAAATAGAACTTCAACTATCAAACCATTCTAACTCCCACATATCTCTCAATTTACTCCACATTCTCCGTATCAACCTCTAGAATACTAAATCTATGCCACTAACTCCTCTCGTGTAGATTATTTTAACAGCCTGCTAACTCATATCCCGGACAGTACTCTTGTCCCCTTCTAACCTTTTGCCATATTTTAGGCAGGATGATGGTTCTAAAATGCAAACCTGAGCCTTTGATCCTTATTTATAAACCTTTCCATGGTTTGCTACTATCCTTGGATAAGGCGAAACTCTCTGACATGGCTTAAAAGGCTCCATACCATCCAGTCCCTTTTCTTCTCCAGTCACCAGGCTCTTCACCCCAATTCTACTTTTCAGCCATATTCAGTCCCTTGAGCACATCATGCTTTCTTAGCTTGCACCTTTGCATGTATTATTCTTTCTGCCTAAAACACAGCCTCTAGCCCTTCAACTTCACCTGGCTAATACCTAAATCATGTTTCAGGTCTAAGCTTCAACATCATTTCCTCTGGGAACCTTTCCCTGACAGATGGTAAGATTAGGTGCCCTTTGATGGTAATTAGTCTTTGGGTGTTCAACGTGAGGTAGTCTACACAGAAATCGAAATATGATGATGTACACCTGAAATTTATATGTTATAAATCAATGTTACCTCAATAAAAAAAAACTGAAAAAAGAAAACAATAAAAGAAAAAAAAAATTAGGTGTCCTTCCTATGTGCTCCCACAACACTGTGTACTTTCTCTATCACAGAATTTATCAAAATATATATAAATATTCCTATTTGCCATCATACTATAAGCCGCTGAGGAACTGTGATGTGTTTCTTTTATCCATGGTGTCTACCTAGAATCTAGTGGAACAGGCACTCAAATGTGAGTTGAATGAATACTAAAGCAGACACCAGAAGGTGATAATCTAATTTACCTGAAGAAAAAGAATGACAAACCATACTTTTTAACATTACAAGAGACAATTTCAGGATTACTCATACACACGCACACAGAGTACATCAGAACAAAGGTACCTTTCTTTGATGTCTTGTCAGTGTTAGTTTCTGGAGCTTCCACTTTCTTCCCTAGCCTCTGTGCAAGGCTGCGCTTTAATGGAGGATCGCTGTCACCACCTTCAAACAGAAGAAACTCAGTTTAAGAGTTCGAGTCAATCTTCAGCAAGGTCAAGAAATACAAGCAAAAACACACAACATAGAATAATTCTTTAAGTTTTCTGCATTTGTATGGTGTGTCTGTTCACTAGGTTCCTTAGAACTCAATGTTAGAGAAGGAATAAACATGTCCCAGAAAGAAGAGGTAAGGAAAGGGACAAAACATTAGAATGCACAAATTAACATTTACCAAATAACGGACTAAAACTACAAGTGGAGGATTATAAGCTCTGGTTAAGGCTGAAATTCAGAATTAGGAACATGTGAAAAAAAATCTTCATGTACAAGATAAACTAACACATGGACAAAAAGAACAGTTCGGTGGTTACCAGAGGGGAAGGGGGTTGGCGGGTAGGCACAAGGGGTGAAGGGGCACAGTTATATGGTGACTGACAAATAATAATGTACAACTGAATTTCACAATGTTATAAACTATTATGACCTCAATAAAATTAAAAAAAAATCTTCACGTACAAAAAAATCTTAACTGGCCAATTGTTGAATTCTAGGTAAATTCATGGTTAAATGCACCTGGGATGAATAGAAGAACAGCAGAAGAACCATAAAATTTTAGATCTTCCTGTGATGTGAAGATTCCAAAGGCCAAACAGCCCCTCTCTTCAATTCCAGATAAGAAATCTAAGGCTGTGAAAGATTCTGTATCTTACCCAAGTCACCAATTAGTGACAGAGCCAAGACCTGAACCAAGCTTCTTGACTCTTGGTTTATTACATTTATCTGTTCAAGACAAGTAGTTTAAATGTCACAAGTTTTTAAAAACTGTTTTTCAGAGTGCTTGATTGAAGATATAATCTTTGCAGGGTCCCATGAAAAACCTGAAAGACCCTACACAGAGTATAATCTTCTCTCTCCTCTCATTTATGATTTAAACACGAAACCAAAAATCACAAAGTTTACACGTATGCTGATATTAAAATAGCTTAAAAGCTTTCTAAATTTTTTACCTAAAACTTCTCAGGCAGTGAGAATGGTGTTAAAACAAAAAACAGATTTCGTATTTGCAAGTACACAACCTCTGAAGTCAGAGAAGATTTTCAAAATAATTCTTTTGAGACAGACATACTAGGGTAAGTACATGACAATTCAGAAATATGGTAAAATACTTTCCTAAATATAAAATAGCGCTAATAAATTCAGGGACCTAATTAAAATAACTGGACACTATCTTCCCACTAAAAACTCAAATTTCGTCAATAGACACAGAGGTATTCTTTACTGTTTTTCAAACCAAGTACCTTCTAAAAAGTAGGCCATAATCTACTTAAATTGTAACACTATAAATTTCTATGACTTTAATAAAAATGTATAATGCACATGTGAAAAACCGGAATAAATTTTATAAGTGCTTTCAGCCAAGAATATAGGGGGACTGACAAATCAATATTGACAGGGCGTTTGTCAATATTTTGAGAGCTTTGGAGGAGGTATCATGTTAACACACAAACAAGCAGAAAACAAAGGATACGCACAAAACTTATCTCACCTACTGAAAATTTTCGTTTCCCCAGTCTATCAGCGAGATTCAATCTTACCAAGGGTTCTTCTCCTGAAATGGCAAAAACACAATTTCTCTACCATTAGCCAATTTTTCTGTTTTCAGGTAACTACTAATGGGTACAAAGTATGCTCTGAGATAATTAATGAGTCCATCCACCCAGAAAGTTTCCTGAAAATCAGATCTCAGTATTAAGGAAGACTAACATTAAAAAAAAAAAAAAAAAATGTAGGGGCCAGCCCCGTGGCGCAAGCAGTTAAGTGCACACGCTCCGCTGCGGCGGCCGGAGGTTCGCCGGTTTGGATCCTGGGCGCACACCGATGCACCGCCTGGCAAGCCATGCTGTGGCGGCGTCCCATATAAAGTGGAGGAAGACGGGCATGGATGTTAGCCCAGGGCCAGTCTTCCTCAGCAAAAAGAGGAGGATTGGCAGATGTTAGCTCAGGGCCGATCTTCCTCAGAAAAAAAAAAAATTAACCTATTAAATAATAATTTAAATAGCCAAGCGCACAGCCCAGAGGGAAGCAACAGCACAGTCCTAATTATTAATAGTAGCCAAGTATACACAGACAGGTTGTATTCTAACCAATTGGTAATAAAAGCCAAGCTATACTTTTGCTTGTGCACTGCAATACATTAAATGAAATCACACTCTACTCCACCACTAACTCTCCTATATAACCTTCCCAGACCACTCAGCAGGAAGTGTGCTCTTTCCTCTGATTCTTTGTTCTTTGAATGGCACAAACATTTAAATGTATCTGCATACTACAATTACTAGTGTCATATTCCTTACTAGATTTAAAACTATTAAGTGAAAAGACTCTTACATTTTCTATAACTCAAAGGGTTTTTACAGTTCTTTACTCACAATGGACAGTCAATAATATGCTGAATAGATACAAATAAACAGTAAATGTAAAAATTAGATATACATAAATGTGAGAGCTGCTGGAATAAGAATTTCAACCTTTTAAATGGTAGAGTCAAATGCACTAACTTGTCTTTTCATCCTTCTATCTGATCGACATACTGAAGTCTTCCAGCAAATCCACCAAAGGTAAAATACTGCCAAGGATTTTGCTATCCCAGTTATTTAAAAGCAGTAGCCCGACAACTGTTAAGACCTAACTATACCTCACCTTGTTTGTTGGACAGAGTTACTGTCCTCACCACAGTCCGGACATTCTCTTTTTCAGGACCTGGAATGGGCTGAGGTTGGAGTAAAAGACTGGAAACTCCTGAAGAACCTTCTGAATAAAGCAAGTCAAAGAACAGTAAATAATTCATGGAAAATAAAGCTATCACAAATCAAGAAATTTTGTTTTGGGGACCAGGGAAGTCCAACAGAGACAACTGCACAACTACAAGCCAATCAGTCTTTCTGTTCCTGTTTGCCTACAGCAAAATGTGGTGGTGGTGGGGGAAGTGGAGGAAGTGGAGATAATCTCTATTTTTTATCTGCCTTAGGCATGATGTGAAAATAAAATATAAAATTGTTTTGAATGACTTAAGCACTCAATCTACTTTTATTTACCCATAAGGCTAACATTATGCTAAAATGTTAGAATACTCAGAAACACACCACCATCAGGTGTTTCAAGTCAACCTTTTTATCTACATTCAGTCATCTGCAAAACACAAGTCCAAGGTTCCTACAGAACAAGCTTTAGCAAAAGGGTACTTAGAACCAATAGTGTGATTCTCTCTAATACTACCTTTCATACTCTCTCTATCACGTTGAGGGTTGGAGATATATATCAACCTGGCTGAGGCAATCTCCAGAAAAAAATCGTAGCACCTCTTGAGGAAGAATTCATCTACTACAAAATAAAGTTTTCCCTCTTTTAATATAGTTTATATCCTGTGTTATATGCTGTTCTGTAATGTTATATTTTTCAAGATAAACAAGTTTTTTCAGGTTATTGTATGTGCCTGCCTCTGCAGTTAAGAGACTGAAACAGCTGCAATAAATTAAAAAAGTATGATTTAAATAAGTCTGTGTTTTACTTCAAACAAGCCACAAAAGTCAAAATCTATTTGCTTATTTTGGCTACTGCCAAGTGTCCTTATTATCCTAAGTGTCCTTATTATTCTCCTCTAGCAACATTCATCCTTGTCAAAACTCCTAATGACTTACCACCACCTTGCTTCTTATTTTTTTCCTTCATTTTCTTTGACTTAATTTCCTCCAGAGTTTTTATTCCAAAATTCAAACATTCACCTGAGAAATGCAAATAGAAATCACATGAGGAACTAGCACCTTTTCACCTTCATATTTTATTTGTACCCAGCAGGCACTCAAATGTTTTCTGAATAAAAGAAAGCATGCTAGAGAGAGAGGGAGAGAGGGAGGGAGAGGGGACCTCTGAGTCTCTG